TTTTATAAATATATTCCCCTGATTAAACTTGGGGTTGCAGACACATGGAATCAAGCTTCTGTAACATGCATCATTTGCTGTTTGATATAGCTTCAAATGAAAATAGGAGCTTCTCTTCTTGATTTAATTGCAGTACTGTATTAAGCTCATGGAATCAAGGGAAGGGAAGGGAAGGGAAGTTTGGTGGATTCAGTTCATTTTCTATGAATGTAATACTAAAAATGATATTCAGCCATAAATAAAAATAAAAAACAAGTTAATTAAAAACAGAATTAACAAAACAATGGCAAAATTAAACAACAATAATAAATTAAAAATAATTGTTAAATAATTTAAAAGGCTAAATTGAAAAGGTACATCATGACATCACTGAGATCTAAAAGCTGAAAGGAATGCAGAACAAATTGTCAAGTGATTTCACAGGGTACAACTCAACTTTTATTGGAATGCAAATCAAAACAGTTCTCATATCCAGAGGAGGAGGAGGAGGAGGAGGAGGAGGAAGGCTCTGATATTTTGGTAACCTCTTCCACTTTCTTGAAGAAGAATGCTTAATGTAAAATAGAAAAACACTGCTGGTCTGTTCTGAAGGTATCTAACAGTAGTAGAGAAGAAATATTTTTAAGTGGACTCTAGTTGGTAGTTTATTAATGTCCTTCTGCATTGTCCTCAATGCAGTCAATGCAGTCCTCTGATAGCAATAGGTCAAATAGGAGATTGACTTATTGCTATCAGAGGAAAAAGGACACATGAATGATAAGTTCAATTGTCCACACTAGTTCAATATTCCACAGATTCCCAGAGTTTTTATGGTAACATTATAAGGCAAGTCAAGAACTTCCTGAAAATGGATTGGGGAAACCATTTGGATCTACCAAATATCTAGGAAGAATAATTTTAATTGGTAGTGCATGGTTCTGAGATTCATCCCTCCAGTTTCTGGCTAATTGGAGAGTGGTCTGTCCATGGTAATAAATCATACGTAACTCTTCCACTTCAGATCACCAGCTCCTCAAAAGATAATATTAAACAGAAGTATGACATGCTGTGTATGCAGATCTAAAAACTGGGACAAATTCATGGTTGCCATAGCAGACATGAAAATCTGAGCTACAAATACCTTGGATTTAAGATTATAACCTTTTTGCACAATAACTTGGGCATAAACTCTATGTCTTGTGAGCACATCAAGTCCGTTTCTGAATAAGTGAGTATGTATGTGCCTTTGAATTGGAGCTCAAATGCCTATCGGAAAATGGGCTGAAACAGACTTACAGTCACAAGCATGAACTTCAGATGGCACATTTTTCACACTATCAACTGTATTAGGAATGCCAATGAGTCACCAAGTACAGACACTGAAGCATCTCCCTCAGGCCTGAAACAGTCACAGCTAAGCTGTAAGCAAAACTGCACCTGTCTGTGGTTAAATGATACTAACTTTAGCTTCCAAGGATGATAAGCCTGAGCCAATTAGCACTAACCTTTTACTATGCATAGGGAAATAAAATGCTTTCTCAAATGTTTCCCTGACACTATAGAACTGGAGCCATATTGAAACTACCTAATGAACAATAAAAACAAAAACACCTCTTAAAGAATGGAAAGGGGATATATTGAAAATGCACTGTAGTGGAGGTAGAGCTGATTGGACTATTGTGTTGTTCCACCTTGATGAGATATCTCTATATCATACAATACTTATCCTATGTAGATTATTGACAGTGGCAGAAAGGAGAATCCTACAGCTGTCCCCTGAAGGAACAGTTTGTTTTCTAAGTGATCTTATGGACTGAAATAACATTGGGAAACCCTCTCCACCCAAAATGGGTGACTGTCTGTGCGGTGTCTAGATATATTCCATTTCCTGAACTGACATATTTGGTCTTTAAATCTTCACTGTACTTTGCAAGTCAAATGTGAGAAGCAAGTCGAGGGATCATCATCTTTGCTCCCTTCAACTCACAGCTGAACTTGCTAAAAGAGAAATATTTATTTATTTATTTATTAAATTTATATGTCACCCATCTCAACCAGAGGGTGACTCTGGGCAGCTCACAATTAAAATCCAAACATTAAAAACAGTAAAAATATAATTGGAAGGATCGATAATGAAGCTCAAGCTCAGATATTTTGGCCACCTAATGCGAAGAGAGATCTCTTTG